AAATTGTTGCACAAACGGCTAGTTTCGTGCCCCTGGAGGCTTTTCCAATATACCTCAAGGAGAGAGTCATACACACTCAGGCCGGGTCCATCTCGAGTTTATTGTTTGCAAACAAGTTCGACAAGGGAGTTCAATACTCAAAGCCGTGTTGACCCCTAGCCACGCCCAAAGTTACATTTTTATACCCCTCATGAACAAGATTCCATTGTGGCAATCTGTGATTGGCTACAGTTTTCTGCAAAGTTTTTAGTACATGCGTAGTTCTAAAACGGGCAAGTAACAAGGGTTGCAAAGTTTATGTGCAAAGCAAGCAGTAACTAATCTGTGTTCCCACAGGAATCAGCCTTATCGTGAACCAAGCATTGTTCGGACTGTTCTCTCCCCCTAACAGGACCCCAGCAGCCCAGGTCCGGGGAGAAGCTCCTGTGCCCAGGCGCCGCGGAAGGACTCTGGCTCTTCACACCCCATCACCTACCACGAGTGGGGAGCTCGAGGGGCCTTGTGCCGGTTCGGTCTCGGGCGGCGAGGGCACCACGGGCAGCGTAGCGGGCTGGGTCTTGGGAAAGACATCTGTAAGGGTCCACAAGGGCCTAGGACCCAGGCGCCCCAAGAGCTCACTCTCAGCCTTCCCTACATACCCTATTTCCTATGCTATCTATCTAATGTCGAAGGTATCTATCTATATCCGTGCACTGTCTTCGTAGAGCCAGGTCCCCTTGGAAAATGCAGTGCTTTGCTTTCACTTGATAGTTCGGGTTCCTCCAGCACAGACCACGTGGCTGCCTCCTTCTTGGTTGCCCCTTGCTGCCCAGGGATCGTGTTCAAGTTCCTGGCCGGATAAGACGTTCCCTTGTAAGGGGCTGTCTCCAAAGTCTAACCCTGATCACTATACCTTCCCTTAAAAAAAAAAATAACCATCACAATATAACACAAAAACTCCACAACAGCAACACAACAACCGTACGACAACCTTTTTAAATACATAGGGGGTAAAAAGAAAGTACCAAATAATGTGGGGGTCTCTGCAGGACATGCTTGGTAATCTGGTAGTAGCACCAGACAACCAAGCTAACCTCTTTAACAATTTCTTTGCCTCCATCTATTTGAGCAGGGACCGGGGCATCCCCCCCAGCGGGATCCCGAGGGACCCCGGGGAGGTGCACCCAGGCCCAGGTCAGAGAGGACCTAGTCAGGGAACTTGTGGAGGGGCTGGACGTGTTCAAATCAGCAGGTCCTGATGACCTCCACCCCAGGGTGCTGAGGGAATTAGCAGAGGTCATTGTGGGACCCCTGGCACGGCTTCACGAGCACTCGTGGTGCTCCAGCGAGGTGCCAGAGGACTGGACAAGGGCCAATGTGGTCCCCATTTTCAATAAAGGGAGGCAGGAGGACTCAGGAAACTATAGGCCCGTTAGTCTTACCTCGGTCCTGGGGAAGCTCTTTGAGAAAATTATCCAGGAGCACATCTGCGAGGGACCAGCAGCGGGGATGGTGTTTAGGGGCAACCACCACGGGTTCATTCGAGGCAGGTCCTGTCAGAGCAACCTGGTGGCCTTCTATGACCAGGTCACAGAAGCCTTGGACACATCAAGACAGATACTTATCTTCTACCCGCACCGCTCGCTGAGCCCACATCAGTGTCCCCAGAGTCTCGTGTGCTTTTCTTCTCTGCCTTTCAGTCTCTGATGGCTCCTTGTTTGCTTCGTGGGTACGTTTTTGTGTTTCTTCATCTCAGTGTAATACTTCGCCTCCCCCCACCTTCTTTGTCCCTTCAGCTCTGCATAATACAAAGCTCACTGTTTTCTGGTTTTAAAACTGCAATTGAGTGCTGGACCAGCTGTTGCTGGATTTGCAGCAGGACTCAGGATCCCTGCACGGGCAGAGCGGGGAAGTTTGCAGAAAGTGGCTGGTTACAAGACCGTGGGCATGTTTTTAATTGGCTCCCGAGGCAGGAGAGGGGCAGGAACTCAGCCCCGGGACTCAGGCAGACTCAGAGAAGGGAAGGCACCTAGGACCACCGCTGCACCCTGCCGTAGTGACGGGAGAAGATAACCTGGTGTCCTTTTTCCCTCTGTGAGGCAGAGGGACTCGTGCGGAGGAAAAAGGGTGATCCCACAGACATGGAGCGGAGGAGAGCATCTCTTCCCCGTGAGGCTCTAGCAGAGAGCAGGACTTTCTGGAGCAGCAACACCAGGCATGGGCGTTGCGCTGCCAGTGTGAAGGGGGCGGATGTCTTGTTCACCCCGTGTGCTCCTTCACGGGAGTCCCAAGGGTTAAGCTGGGGTGTCTTTGATTCAATTTGTACAGAGCATTTTCATAGGTTTCATAGACGTTAGGGCTGGATGGGACCTTGTAGGATCACCAGGTCCAGCCCCCTGCCCAAGGGGCAGGAAGTCAGCTAGGTGCAACGGATCCCAGTTTATTAGTTTCTGGATGGAGGAGCAGAAAGGAATACCTGCCTTCAACAATTAGATGATTGATATCCTGTTCTGCTGTTAACCCCAGTCATACGTGAACTGTTTGGTAAATAATAAACTGTAAATAGTTGGATTGTATGTACCGCAGCGTGTGGGGAAACCACAAGAAAGCGCTCCACGAAGAGGTGGCCCCAGCCTTAGGGGCTGGGAGGTTGACCGAGGCTGTTTGAAACCCCAGGACCCCGAATCCGGACATGGCTGCAGGTAGCACCGCGGCTAGGGTTACCTTCTATATCTTCTTTAAGCATTCGTTCACAGAACTTGCACTTTCCTTCCATAATCAAAAACATTTCTCCAACAGTCTGGTTTGAAGGCAGAAGAAGATTTTTGTTCTTTTTTGGGTTTTTTTTCTTTTTTTTTTAGTAAATTCTAGTCATTACCAGCACATTTCCAAGTGAGCCACTTTTTCCTCCTCCACTGTAGAACAGGGACTCGATAGCACGACTTTGCCATTGCTAAAACTTCCTTGCTATAGTTAGGGACAAGTATATTGATATCCTGTCCCAGGATATCCATATTGATGGGAGAAATTTGCTAAGGATAACCATGACACAGAAGCATTTCAGACCCCTGTGCTAAGGCCTGTGCTGTCTCTGACTGGGAAGACTCCTTTTAGTCACCTTGCAGCTGTTCATCTCTGGTACCCCTTTCACTCCCATTAAGTTTTTTAATTCAAACTATAATTCAAAAGTCTCTCTTATTTCAAAGCCTTCCAGCAAAGGAATCAGGAGCCGCAGTGGTTCTGCTTCTATTTCCTTAGTTAACTGCAATAATATGAAAGGTAATTTATGTTTCTCACTTGCACTTCAGCTGTAGAGTAGATCTTTGCTGGTACAAGTCAATGAAACTCCATCAGCTCGGCGGTGGCTGGCAGACACCACTGTTGTTGCACAGACGTCAGCTTGAGCTACAGCCACTCGCCAGTATTGTGATCTGGCCTCAGAGCCAGAATATTGATATGTGCATTTTAATTACTACGTTAATGTTGAAACAATAAACAGTCACTGTGTTCTCCCTCCCTCCCCTGATTTTAAACCCCTCCCAGGCTAACGGTCATGCCTATGCCAGACCCGCCTTTGTGGTCAGTCTCAGTGTGCGCATTGCACTGCTGTAGGTCTATATGACTGGCTAGTGACACATTTAGTGGTCTGCTCTGTTCTTCCTGTGATGGTGTTTTTCTCAAGCTCGCTTATCTGGAAGGTGTCACACTGAACCACAAGCTAGAAGAGGAAGGCAGGTCTTTGCAGAGGTGAAATCAATAATTTCCAGCCCTTACCAAACACTGTCTTACCAATTCACTGGGCCCAAAGGGAACAGGGCCAGCAAAGAGCAGAGGATCATAGGAAAGCAGGGCTGGAAGGGACCTCACAGGGTCACAGCTAGTCCAGCCCCTGCTCCAGGCAGGATCAGCCCTGTCTGAACCATCCAGGACAAGGGTCCGTCCAACCTGCTCTTGAGCACTTCCAGGGATGGAGACCCCACAGGGTCTCTAGGTGCCTGTTCAATGCTCGACCACCCTCAGTCAGAAAGTTCCTCCTCATCTCCAACCTCCGTGTTCCCTGCTGCAGCTTGAGCTGCTGCATCTAGTCCTGTCCTCTGCGGCCACAGAGAAAAGCCCATCTCCATCCTCTATGATCTCCATTGGGTGTAAACCCTTCTGGAACTAGTTCGCTTGCTCTCACAATCACAGCAAAAGTTTCAGTGGAAATAGGCTGCCGTAGCTGTGCTCCCAGAACTCAGCTGAGCAACCGAATCTCCATGCCGAGGTCAGGAAAACGAGAGAAAGGGTGTTCGTGGGGAGGGAACTGCCCAAGCGCCACGGAGGGAGAAGCCGGCCCAGCTGGGCGATAACACAGGAGGAGCCGAGGCTGAACTGCACCGATGGCCTGGTGCAGAATAGCAGCGTCCTCCCCGGGCACGAGTGGTAAACTCAGCTGCCTTTTGAATTCACAGCTCGGCTTATTTGGGTGGGGCTCTGTTGGACAAACCCTTAGTATCCCAAGTGCCTAAATTACTGATGCAAATGGTCTTCTACTCTGGAGACACAGGAGATGACCTGGTTGCCTACTGAGTTGTAGCTGTTCTCTAGGAGAGTCCAACCCTGCCCCCTGTAAGGCAGTGACACTGCAAGAGGCAGGTGGTGTCACGTATGGGTGCCTCAGATGACTTGATAATGCTGTTTGTATCAGGCAGGACGTTCCCCGGGGAGGAGCTCCTCACCACAGCCCTTGGCCTTGACGCTGCCCCTGTGGCTGCAGCAGCAAACAGGACGTGAGCCCCGGAGGCGGCCGGGCAACATTGCTTCTCCCTACAGAAATGTTGCTCCATGAGTGCCTGATACTGTCGTCCCTAGGTACGGCTCTGTAGGATCCTGGGCACGGAGCGATGGAGCTGAGTGGGATGTTAGACCAGTCGCTCTGGAGAGATCTATGTTCCTAGTTCATGGGTGGGATGTGCAGGAGTTGGGTTGTATTTGCCTTTTGTCGTTGTAAGTAATAACAGCAAATGCCTTGTGGTCCTGAGACATGAGGGCACCTGTGTCAACCCAAGACCCGCTGGAAGCTGCCGATTGCCCTGTTGTGTTTCCACAGTGTTGGGAGTCCAGTTACATCTGCACCAGCCTCAGCGGTTCCTGTTTGTGGAAGTCGGTGGGACAGCAGAGATCCACTGCTACTCCAGCATAGATGTGGATGGGGCAGCAAAATTGCACTGGTATCTGAGAAGGGTGGGTGAGGCTCCCATATTAATTAAAAAGTGTAAGGAACAAAATGAGAGCAGATTTGCTTGCAAGTATCAGAAATCCAACACAGCACTCGAAATCAAGAGTATCCGAAGGAAGGATTCTGGCATTTATTACTGTGCACATGCAGCCACCGGCTCCTTGATTTTTGGGAGTGGAACCACGGTGATCGTTGGAGGTAACGGCCCATTGCTTCTGTAACTAGAGTATCTGAGTGTCTCATAGTTTCTTGAGGGTTTCTAATGCAACACAAGCAGTCAAACTGAAGAGTAGATTGCTTAAGTGAAGCTGTGTTTTTAGCCAAGTAAAATGCATTCAGCCTTAACTACCAAAGGCAGAGAGAGAAGGGGCTATGCAGCGTTTTTCTCAGGGGAAACCTGGCAAGTGGTGCAGGGAAGTGCTGGGTCTCTGTGGGGCTGGTCTGTGCAGCCAGGCTGGGAATGTTTCTCCCTCCGAGCCATGACGGCGGGTGAGAAGATTGTGATCTCCCAAAGGTGCTAGTGCTGCCCTGAGAAGGCTGCCTGGCTCTCTCCCGGCTGTGTGTTGGGCACAGCATGTTTCCTTATTCCCCAGTAAGAATTTATCTCTCTCGACAGACCCACGGCTGTGGCCAAGCTGCAGCTCAGCTCCGTCTGCCTATGAACTCTTGGCTTTCTTTCTCCCCAGACAGCTTCACAGGTAGCAGCTCCGTGCTGCTCCTGGGCCCTGGTGCAGGGGAGAACGGAGCCATGGACCCTGCACATCTGGCCTGTGTGATCCGGGGCGTCTCCAACCTCGTCCAGGTGTCCTGGCACATTCCTGGAGAGCAGCCAGCCCAGGGACTGCCGCGCTTGCTGGAAGCCAGTGATGGGTCCTTAACACTCATCCATGGCATCAGCATCCCCTGGGCCAGCGGGGCAGCCGTCACCTGTGAGGTCACATTCAACTCATCTGGCAGCAGCGTTACCAGACATGCTGTGTATTCTGCATGTGAGTGGTTCTATGCCGGCTCTTAGGACTGAAACTGCCAATAGCTTCTGAAGTGCATTGGTGAAGCTCTGGCTGCATTTTGCTGAAGGGCCAACATCCCATTTATTCCCCTGGAACAAGGATCCCAGCCTCGCGTGTGCAATGACAAATTTGGGTGTCGCTTGCTAAGCTGCAGAGCTGGAAAGTTGTTCCTTGGAGGCTTTTCTCCATTAGCAGAGACATTAAGGAAGGAGGAAAGGCCCCTTCTTCCCAGTAACACTCTTTGATTGTGCATGTCCCCCGTTGCCTGTCAATAGATGCCCTCACCTCCGAGGCAAAGCAGAGAGCTGCAGGGGGGAAGAAAGAATCAAGGAGTGATGGGAGCCTCTGTAGTGAGTGACGTGTGGTGGGGGCGAGGGGCAGGCAGGCCAAGGAGGATGGTGGGCTCTGCAGGGCTGATGCTGTTTGTGGGCAAACCTGCACCCTCCAGGGTCTGTCCCAGACACACAAGAGCTCCAGCCTCCACCTCTGAAAGACGGGACTGGATCACGGGGGACATAGAAGGGACTCAGGAATCCCAGGAAATGCAGCCTGAAGAGTTTAAGGGGCAAAGAGGGTGATTTCAGCTCCTGACGGTCCTCCACTGTCCCCTTCCTCCCCAGCCCCTCGCAGCTGGCACCAGCAGGAGGCCGTGCGCTACATGGTGGTGGGTCTCCTGGTGCTGCTGATGGTATCTCTGACCTCCCTCTGGATGTGTAGCTGCTCCAGTCCAGGTAACCCAGACATCCCAGCCCTTCCTCAGTACAGGGAACTCTTTGGGGCGGAGGCAGTGATGCTAGGAGCTGCAGGACTCAGGCCTGCTGATTTCCTCAGCTCCAGGACGCTGCCCCGGGGCAGAAAGCAGCCCTGGGTGTGGAGCTGTGTGAGCTGCATTAAGGGGCTGTTCAGTGGACGGCAGTGGGAGTCGATACGGCCCCTGCAGTTCTGCTGAGGGATTATTTATACCTTGGATCCCATTGGCCCCTTCTCCCTGCTCTGTGTGGGGTGACAGGGGCGGTAAGCCCTGCCATCAATCCCATTACCCACCATGCACAATATTCCCAACTGTGAGGTTCCAGGGGTCGGTGCAGCCCCAATACATGCCCAGTTCATGCAGAGAGGTTTCATAGAAATCCAAGGCCCCAATGGGAAAGTGCCACCTGCTGCCGTGCCCAGCCCGGCACAGACTTGCTCTGGCTGGGATCTGATGCTGCCCCTGCGGTCACACAGGGTCGGGGAGTTTGTGCCCAGCCACAGCGTGATCTTGGCACCACTGGATGCAGCCCCCATGGAAGGGAAACGGAAAGTCTCGAGCACAAAGGAATCGGGCCGGTCCCTGCTGAGCTGCTGCCTCTTGTTCCCTTCACCGCTGCTCTGTGGCGTTCGCTGCTTCTTGCTGCCCGGAGATGTTCTGCGCCAGACCAGCTCCACAGTGCGACTGCAAGGATGAACTCTGCCCCTGCTCTAGGGATCCAGAGCAGGAGATCCTGACCTCAGGCACCAGGAGGTGGGAGGTTTCCTGCCACGAGAGACAGGCAGTGCGGCCGGAGTGACTGCAGTTTGTGGGGAGACGTTGCAGCCCCTGGTGTGTGCAGGGCCCAGACCCGGGGGACCCAGGCCTCCCAGGGATGGCAAGAGCCTGCATGGGGCACGCACACTCCCTGCTCTGCCTCACCTGCAGACAGTGTGAGGCTGACTTCCTGGCCCAAAGCTGCCTGTTTCTGTTATCTAATAAAAAAACATGTCCTACCCCTTGTACTGTTTCCCTCGTGATAATTTTTGGTTACCATGAAATGCTGGGTCCAAGATGTGTGAGCTCCTGTGTACGATTGCCTGCCTGCCCGCCCACCCTCCTCCCCACACACGCTCATGCAATGGGCAGCTGCTTGGTATCACGTCTCCCTGATGCACGCACGTGTCCCCACACTTTTTATTTTAAGGCTGAACATGTGAACACAAAAGTCAAGTGGGAGCATTTCTGCTGCCATGTCTCACAGCTGCATATTCTGTCTGCAACACAAGAGGAGAGATCTCGCATCAGTTGTGGGTAGCGCAGCCTGGAGACCCCGGCTGAGCTCAGCACCCCACAGTGCTTGGTGCTGAATGAGCACCGGATAAGGGATTGTGCTGATACTTAAGGGCAGGTTAATACACAGCAAGTAGGAGGGGAAGCTTAGGTACAGGGAGGGGCCAGGACTTGGCTTTGATCCCTCAGCTGCTCAGAGCCAGAAGGGACTCAGGTGTCCTACCCTGTCACTGCCAAGATTCATGTGTCCCATTAGATCACATGGCCCCATCTATTCACCTATTTACTAGGACTTTTTTCAGACTAAGAAGTGCCCTGGCCTGGATTTCCTTTTGCAATACCCCATGCACAGTGCCGTTTCCCCCCACAGACATGCAGCAACCTCTGGGGTGGACACAGCAGTTCTGCGCCATGAACCCAGCACAGCGCTGACAGCAGCGGGGAAGAGGGGAATCGGTGATTACTGCAGCGACTCCACCACGTTGCTGGAGAGTTGACTTGGAGGTACCAGGCCAGGATGAGCCCACACCCCAGTTCTGAGCATCTTTGTGACACAGCTGGAGAAGCACTTACCTCTGGGCTCTGCCTTGGGTGCACGTCGCTCCCCGGTGCTGCCACTGTTCCTGCTGGAGGAAGCAGAGCAGGGGCTATTAGTGCAGCTGGGATGGGGTCGGAGGTTTGACCCTAGTGCTTGCTGCGGCCGTTACCTGTGCAGGGGCACTTGGTGGAGAGCAGGATGAGGCCCTGGATCAGCAGGAGGAGGCAGACGCAGGGCAGCCCCACCCAGCGCACAACCCAGCAGGGCCCTGCAGGGAGAGGAGACACTGAGAGCAGGGCACAGAGCCTGTGGCTGGGAGCGGGCAAGGGGGCGTTCCCAGAGGCCATGGTGAGGGGCAGGGGTGATACCCCGGAAGCGGCCTCACCTACCCTTTAATGTGGTGTCCGGGTCTTTGGCCATGACAGCGCTGATGTTTCTCCCAGTTCCCTCCTCTCTGGCGGTGCAGGTGCAGCGTGTCATCATGACCCAGCTCTCCCTGCGGACTGTTGTCAGGCTCCACGTATCTTCCCCATCCTGGGCTCCTGCATCTGCCTGTCTTGGACCCCCCTCCCCGAGGTCCCAGAGAGGTGCCCCCCAGCCCCGAGCATGCGGGGACAGCAGGCAGAGCAGGGGGACGGGGTCTGGGAGCTCAGTTTCCTCTGGGGGGGAAGGTACCAGGATAACAAGGCTGGGCTGGGGGGCATCTGCACGAGAGCGAGAGCATCAAGGCCAGAGGCTGGAGGGACACGGGCTGTTCCCCAGAGGTCAGCTCATGCCCACCCGGCCCCAGCAGGAAAGCTGAGATGCCCGGGGCTTTGTCTACCCCAGTTTCAACACTACACCCCTGACAGGACATGGACCCAGGTATTTTTACTAGGGGTTTTTTGTCTCAGTGCCAGCAGCCCATGTCTAGGGCTCAGGTAACAGAGAGAGGCCTGGTCTGGTGGGAAAAACATGAACCAGGGACACAGAAATGCCCCCTGGCCACTGCCTTGCTGAGTGCCCCATAACAGCTGTAGGCCGCTCTGCTCTGTGCCTCAGTTTCCCCAATGGCCATGAGAGCTGGGAAGAAGCAGTGCAGCACAGGAGCCATAAATTGACATGTTCCAGGTGGATTCATTCCTGTCTGCCAGGGGGTGGCCCCAGGGCCCAGTCCACGTGGTTCCTGCCTCCCCACCTTTCCTCTGGGTCTCTGCATGGGGGTCAGGGGAGAATCCACAGCCAGGGACACGGGGGTGCTCGCTCCCTACTGCACCAAGGGTAGAGGGGGACACTGCCTGGTGCCAGCCTGAACCATGACATGAACCTTCACATGGGTCCCTTGAGCCCCATGGCCTGGAGTGGGAGTCTGTGGGACAGGAGCTCGGGGGGAGATTTCTCCCTGGTGCCTAGCACCCATCTCCCTGAACTGGGGTCTCGGCTGCTGGGGCTGCACAGTTTGGAAATCCCGGCCGTGTCTTTGGGCTCCCGCGTGGGAGCAGCTGGGAGCTGAGATGGTTGAAATCCTGGATCCGTTGAGTGAGACCCAGAGCCCAGGTCTCCTGCTCCCACCCCCTGCCCTGGGCACTGCCTGGCCCCCACTGGCCCTGAGCTCACTCCCAGCTTGGAGCTGATGCTGGGGGGGCAGAGTTGTGCAAAAGGGGAATTTTTTTGCCTCCTGTCTCTGGACTGACAATTTCTGACCTGTTGGAAACTCACCGGAGACGATCAGCCTGGTCCCGTTCGCGAAGCCCGTATAGGCAGTGAGGGTGCAGTAAAAGACCCCAGAATCCTCCTCCTGTACGTTGCTGATGACTAGGGAAAACTTTTTCCCTGTTTTGCTCCCTTTACTCGAGTATCTTCCTTGTGCACTATCAACTTTACCAGTCTTGGCAACCCACTGCAGACTGCCGTCCTGATGCTCTTTGTACCAGGATACGAACCTTTCTTTGTATGTAGCAGCGCAGTTCATCTCCACAGTCTGTCCTGGGGCCGTCCAGATCTCTCCTGGGCTTTGCTGCAGCCACAGCCCCTCTCGGGAAGCTGCCACTGCAGAGGAAAGCGTGGTGTATGCATGGGGGGACCAGAGTAGTGAGCTCCCCTGCCGCAACATCCTCGTTTACTTACAGCTTGCACTAAAGTGACACAATCGAATGAAGCATAATATTATCTGTGATAGAGCTACGTAGTGACAGGATTTGGGGTAATTGGGGAAAGCACACAAGAAAATAAGCCACTCGATTCAGGTGAACATAATATTGGATGATACATAAAGAACAGTTAAAATGCAGTAATATCAAGTAGGAAATGAAGAAAGGGGAGTTCTAGTTAGTCGTGACCTTATTCTCCATCCACAGAGCATCAGTGCTCCCCAGCTAGGAGTTGTCAGACAGGAGCCAACTTGATTTTTTTCTTCCTTACCCCAGGACTTTGCATTTTCCCCCAATGCAGAAATCTGTTTCTCTCTTACTTCTGCCAAGAACAAACACAACCACGAATCTCTCCCATTCGCATCACACAGCCCCTTCCCTACATCAGAAGCAGCTCTCAAACAGGCCCCCAAAGCCTTTGGAGCTCCTTTTAGTCCTTTATATGATTCTTGTGTCCTGGAGGGAAATCACAAATTGAAACCCCAAGAGCCTGGGCTTAAAACTGTCCCCATGCAAGCATTCAGGGCAACATCATCACACCCAGCTTGGAGCGAACACAGACAAGGATAATTTGCTGCGCACATGGAAAGAAAGCATCCACTTACATTTCCACCCTACTGCTCCTGCAGAGATACAGGGTGTTCCCCCTATGACTTACCTGAAATGACAGGCAGTGCCGAAGCACCGAAGTTTGGATCCTGGGGCAAAGCCCTCAGCGGCAGCCTGCCCTTGCCCCATGCACGGATCTGGGGGGGCACACGATCCCACTATGCTTGCTGGGAGTGCACGCAGCGGCAGGAGCTGCATTTCCCCTGTCTCCGTGCCCCCCAAAATGAGCTGCTTGTGGCTCTGTCCCACACCCCAACCAAGCTGGGCAGTGCCCGTGGTGCCTCCTTCGCCGGGGCAGTTGTCCTACTTGCGCCCCTGCCAAAAAAGCAAGCGATATCCCGGGCAGTTGTTATAAAGTACAAGAGGGCCAAGTAGATGTTAAAAAGAGCTCTGTAGTTTGGCAGTCACAGTCTACACTGTTCCCCAAGGGGCTTTTTAAAGCAAACATCATTGTATTACATCCCTCAGAGACTGACACCTGTAACTCTCCCATCTCTGTCTCTCCCGTGCAGCCCAGCCGGGTGTTTCCATCCTGCCAGGACGTCCCTGTGCACACGGGAATTGGTCTTATGTGGGGAGAAAGACCGAGGAGCTGAAAGACTTACCCTGCAGGGCGAGGAGCAGGATCCCAGCCCAGGGGCAGCACATGGTGTGGTCTCTTCAGCACTGGGGGGATGCTGTGAGGCTGCTCGATGGGGCTCTTTTTCTGAAAGCCTGGGTCACGTGGGAAGAAGACCTGTTTCCTGTCTCAACTTGGAGGGGACACATCTACAAGAGGAGGGTGCTGGTGGGTGGGACTCTGACCTCTGATATGCTGAGAGATGTGATCCTTACCACACCCCCGGTCATGAATATCTGGCCAGACTGGGGTTTATTGCAAAAGAAGTCTTTCAGTTCCCCCCTGTAGCAAACCAACCGCCAACTGAATCCCAACCCAGTGTCTTCTCACCTTGCTGAGATGCTTCCAGCACAGGTGAGCAAGGGTAGGGCCTCTCCACCCTGTTACCAGTAATGCTTATACAGCCCTATGGACATACCTGGCGAGGATATAACCCACACACACCTCTCTGAAGCCCCCACTGAAGAGACAAGTCCCTGTAAATGCCTGTACACCATGTGTCTGGGCATGTGAGCAGGGCTGTATGGGACCAGGCTGCCGACCTCGGCTGTCCTTGCTCTTCCTTCCCCTCTGACTTGTTCATCTCATGCCATTCACTGCTACTCCATTTCTGTCCTTAACATAAAAAAATAATGAGCTTGTTCCCCAGAGCCAGATGTCCTTTTTTGACATTCAGTCTAAGTTGGTCCTTGTTTTACTGCCAGTGAATTGCATGCGCAAGGGGAGGATGCTCTGGCCAAACTTCCACGGAGCAGGTGAATTGGATCGACCAGACGGCTTCAGTGAATTGAATTGCACAGGTTGCAGGTGTGTTCAGCATCTCGACATGCAAGGACTTGCTGTGAAACATCCCTCGGGCTGTGCCTGGCACACAAAGGGCTGTGGTGGTTTCCCTCCGTCTGAGCTCCTGCTGGAGACACACACTCATGTCCATGGAGCACCTCCCAGGACAGAGGAGGAACAGCGCCTTCCCTTCCAGTGGGAACCGTCCCCGGGGGGCCGTGCACACACTGCTGAGCTGATGCAGGGGGTTTCCAGTCACTTCTGTGCGTGAGACAAAGAATTTGGAATCATCTGGAAGATTTTTCATTTGCTTTTTCTGTTTTGCTTCCCCCCTGCTCATCCAGTTTTTTCATGGCTTCATCTGTGCCATGGTGGGTTCAGGGTCAGGTTTGTTGTGGGAGCTGTTTGGGGAGTTTTAGGGCAGAGATGGAGGTGAGGGGGGTGAGTGTCCCCATCCCAAGAGCTGTGTGATTAATAGCGGAGATCTTTGCACATCTCTAAAGCTGATCTCTGCCTAAATGGAGGAGGATGTAGGGGAAATGACCACCAAACACATGATACTAAGTATAAAGTGACCTCACCTATTTGCACCGATGTGGAAAACTTCAGAGCTGCTTTCCTGTGTGTTTGCACCACAGCCTCCGTGGTCAGGCTCAGCTCTGTGCACGTGCTGTCTCTGTCTGACTGCAAACAGCAGCACCGCTCTCCCCACCCCAACCAGCTGCTGGGGACCATTCAAGTTGCTCACCGAAGAATCATCCCCATGATACAACCCTACTTCAGCCCACAGGGGTGTGACACACGTGTCCGTGTGAGATCAAGCTGCCTGCATTCCCATTCACGATCGTTCCTTTCTCTGCTGCAGATAATCTTGGCTTGGCCACATCCAGTGGGAGCATCTGGACGTGTGACACTGTTCAGGGGCCTTGGTCTGTCTCCCTTCACACAGGGGAGGCTGCAGGAGAGGGCAGGGTTTGAAGAGCAGATGTGGACCATGAACAGCCTCACCCTTGAGAGCACTGTCCATTGGCCTAGAAACTCCCTTGGGCTCCTCTGTCTTCAGCCTCTTTGTCCCTTCTAGGTTGCAAATAGACGTTACCCATGTACCTCTGTGAATATATTTATGGCTGCACATGCCGGAGCAAAAAGCTGCCTCTGCCCCTGGTCACACCGCAAATGCTGAGGCTTGTGACCACAATGGTTTCTGATAGTGGTTTGGGCACCTGTTTAATGTGGACCTGTGGTTGCCAATGGCACAAAAGCATGATGGCCCTGGGGCTTCCCACGCTCTCTAGCCACCCAGGCAGAAGGTCCCAGGCTTTCAAGAGCCTGATCCTGCGGGTGATCCCCAGTGGCAGCGTCTGTGAGTGGGGGACCATCGCAGCTGTCCCCCAGTGTGGCTGCAGCAATGACCTCCGCTTCTCTGCCTGCCTGTGCCCAGCTGAAATGCAAAGCTCAGACCCTCAGAGGAGCAAGGATTTTCTTCAGGACCAGAGACCTTTGGGCACTTTGGGGAGATGCCCAGCACCCAGTCTAGGTAGGGCCTGAAATGGGGAAGCAGCATGGTGTAGCTCTACACGGCATGGGGCAGGGTTATAGGATCCCACACATGGGACACTGCATTGGCTGCATGGGGCTCCCTACTCACTGCCCCCAAGAGCCGGGCTGGGGTCGGGGCTGTGAGTGCTGTGAACCTGCCCCTGGATCAATGCTCCAGGCAGTGGCTTTGTGGAGCAGCAGCACCAGGACGACAGAGCCTGCTCCAGCCCGGATACCCGAGCAGCTGGCACCGAGGGGCCCTGCTCCCTCCCTGTGACCAGAGCAGAGAAGATCCCTCCCCTCTCCCCTGCCCAGACGTGCTCAGCTCAGCATCAGAGCCTGGGCCCAGGGCAGGATGTGAGCATGGGGCTGGCCCAGCTCCCCCACACAGGGGAAGTGGTGGCCATAGCACCTTGGTACTTGAGAGGTTTTACTAGGGGCCACACATCCCCTGAGCTGGGTCTGAGCCACAGGGGCTCCTGGGGACGCAGGAGGCCTGTGCTGGTGGCCAAGGTTTTCCTCTGTGACTAGGGACAGACATTACACATAAACTGGTTTAAGTTATTAGAAACTGGTTTAAACCTGTAACAGAACAGATGTTCAATGACCATAAACTGGTTTGAAAATGCCTGAAACCAGTTTGAGATAAACCTGGTTGAATGTAGTATCAGACTTAACTGATTTGGCTCAAACTGTTTTATGCAATGTCTGTCCCACACCCCTTGCGGGTTTAAGTTCAGTCAGACTCTCCCAGCATCCCAGCATGCTCTCTGGGCTGGGCGGGGCTCTCTGCTCCACAGCAGGGCTGGCCCCTCCCCTCTGCCCCCTGGCTGCAGCTCCGGCAGAGACTTGCAGGCATCGGCAATATCTGCCTGGTTTCCTCCTGCTCTCCCCCTCCCCTCACCACTCTGTTAAGCAGGGATCCCCCGTCCCCTCTGCCTAACACAGATACACAGCATTAGCTAGCGGACCACGTGCTGGCTACAGTCCATGCTGTGGCAGACGGCAGCGTCAGCTTAGGGCTTTTTGGAGTTAATCAGAGCGCAGCTGGTTTAATGTCCCTCCATTCCTTCTTTGTTTAAGAAGAGTTTGAACTAATGAGAGAGGCTGTTTGTTTTCTGATGGGGTGATGAATGCTGATAACTGAGCTGATAAATGCTCTGTTATCAAGGGGGGTGGGGAACTGCTCCCTAATCCTGCCAGGCCTGGCCACACCCCCCTCAGATCAGCCCTGTGCAAGGGAAGGGAGGGCTGATCTAGTGCCCCCTAGCTTCTAGCCTGAGCCACTGCTGCATGTCTGGGATGTCTGTGCAGTTACAAAGTGATTCAGCCAAGCCGGGTTAGGCTAACCTGCAAAGATTGAATCAATTCAGGCTCAGGGTTTTTGAATGTCTGTCCCTAGCCTACGTGGGCACCCATCACATCACAGGAACAGCAGAGAGGAGATGATGTGGGGCTGACCCTGACCTATACCTGACCTGTTCTATTATAAACTGAAAACTAGGTGGCTGGGACACAGCTGTCACAGGGCAGCCCTCCCAGGACTGCAGTTCACAGCCATGTCCTCATCTGAAGCAGAAGGGGAGGGACATATGTTGCTGTGAGCTCTTTCCAATAGATGTCCTCTGCAGAGCTAGCCTGACACGGCTCTGAGATCAGAGCAGGAGAAGGGAACAGGTTCCTCTTCCCAGCAAACCCAGCCTTGCTCAGGAGATGAGCTCTAGGTACCCGGGTGGGGACTGGGCCCAGACGCTGGCTCTCAGTCCTGGGGTTCCTGCCTGCCCCTTGCTGCCAGGGACATGTTAGGTCCTATTGCAACTGGGTTCAAATGAGCAGCACTGGTATTCAGTGAGTGTAAACGTAGTGTAGCATTCATTTGCGCTGTCAGATGGGTGATCAGACCAGCCACCAGCAGGAACAGCGCCGGGTTAAACACAGATCCAAAGAACGTTTCTGTTGTTGTCTTTTTATCCATTGGAAATGCTTGCACTGGTAGGAGTTTTGGGGATGCCAGGCTAAGCTAAGGCACCACAAATGACCTTGGGAGTAGCCTGCGTCACTGCTCTGAGTGAGCTGCTAGAAGACACAGGGAGCACAAATCTGATTCAGAGTGAGAAACAGGAGCTGAGCAGGCCAAGGTGGAAACAGGATTCACTTGTACAGCAGAGATAACAAAAGGCAGCTGCACTGAGTGGGGATGAGCTGGAGATACCCAGATGCAGCAGGGAGTGAGTTGTAGAAGCCTGAAATCAGCAGGGCATGAGTGTTACGTGCAGGCCCTCGGCATGGGGACTGCAGTTGGCCAGGGGTGAGCGGCAAGGGTCTGGACTTGGCAGAGAGTGAAAAGGGACAGAGACAGAAATACGTTGTTCTGATCCTTACACCCAGGATGTTCTGGATGGGATCCCACATGCTCGGACATGCTGTGGTGCTTTGCACACAACTTGAGGCTTCCTGATTTTGACTCTTGCTGCTCTTGGCCTGTCTTAGGGCCTCCAGGGGTGCTGGGGGTGTTGGAACATAATGGCTGTTCACCAGCCCTGGGACATGGGTGGTCAGACAGCTTGCAGAGCCCAGGAGGCTCAGTTCTGCAATGCTGCCAATGGGGAAGATCCCACCTTGACCAGAGGACTGGCTTAGATGACCTCGTGAGGTCCTATGAGACTAGGCTCCTATGTAACGGAGCCCAAGGCAGGGTGCAAAGTGC